AGTCCCTTCTCCTTTCTGAGACTCAGTTTCCCAATCTGCAACACAAGGGTGTGTTGAGTATGTCGATCTCGCCAGTTCTTTTCTGTTCTGACGCTTTGGCAGCTCTGTATTTCTTTCTGTCACTGGGCTTCCTCTTCCCACCTGCCCAGGATCAAAGGGTGAAGGGGCAGGGGGAGGAGCTGGGATCAGAGGGCTTGGGTGGGGGCAGAATTTCTGAGTTTGTTCTCTCTCCGATCAATGAGAGAAGGTACCTAGTTCCCACCACACAGGGGTTTGCAAAGAGCATCTGCAAACATGAAGTCAGTTGATCTTCTCCATATGCCCTAGGAAGTAGGGATCTTCCTTCCCTCCATTTTATAGATGAAGAAACAGACTCAGCAGGTGAATGCATGTGCCCAAAACCACACAGCTTGGAAGAGGAAGAGCCCGGACTGGATCTTGGGTCTGTGTGACTTCAAAGGCCATTTTCTGTCTTCTCCTCCAGCATGGGCAGCTCTGGGCAAGAGCAGAGAGCAGAGAGCAGAGCACACCTTGGGTGTGGCCTGGAGCATGGCCTAGAAGGGGACCAGCCCTCTGTTCTCAGTTCTGTCAGCAGCATCTGGAGAAGGGGATCAGCCCGGGTGCCCTGGAATCCCATCGTGGGCCATCTGCCTGCCCCTCCTCCCTGCCTTTGCTTATGCAGTTGCCTCCTCTGGCCCCACGACGCCTTTCTCTGATTCCAATAATCCCAACAGCTGGCTGGCATCACCTGGCACCTTGAAATAGGGACAAAATGGATTCAAACCCTCATTTGCCACCTAGTGGGAAAATCCTATGTTCTCCTTAAGGTTTCTGCCCCATTTCCAGGTGGAGACTCACTTTCCCACGATCACCTCAGGCTCAGGCTTCTCGGGACATTCTTCAGCCACTTTAGTATTTTTGAGAGATGCCAAAAGCGTGGGTCAGTTAGGAGGAGGTGAAGGGCCCATGGTGCGCCGTGTGCTGGGCACAGTCGTCTGAAAGGGGTTCGTTGTGGGATCTTTGTCTTGGGCCTGCTGGCTGCACCTCTGGAGGTTCTCATTTCCTTCCCCGACAACGTCCTTCCTGCACATGAGGAACATCATTTTGTGCCTAAGGATGCCACTGCTGTGTCATCTCTCAGGTCCAGTCCCGCTTGCTCAGACCGTGGCCACAGCCACCTGGAGGGGCCCCCTGACTGCAGCGTGTCCTCCTCCAGCCTGTCCTCCAGATTCCGGCACTCACCAGTCTGAAGCCTTGGCTGATCCCAGCCCTAATGAGAGAAAAGCATTACACTCCTGCCCCACACCTGCTCTGCTCTGCAGCTGCCTCTGCTGGGGTCTCACGGGAGACCTGGCCATTCAGGGGCCACGTTCTGCCCAGCCCCACTGCCAGACCTTTGCTTGTGCCTGGAATGCCTGCTTCTCTCTGCCATCAAAGTCCTACCCACCCTTCAAGGCCTGGTTCACGTGGTCCCTTCTACTCCCAGAAAGTGTTCCCAGGCCTTCTCTGGACTGGTGACTGAGGACCTAGCTTCTCCGTATCTCATGGGGTGAGGGCTCCCTACACTCAGACGGTTTCCTATGTGGCACTTCAGATAATCAGACACCATCCCAGAGTCCCTGGCAGGTGGCTGAACCAGCCTCTAGGTCGGCCTCATGACCCGTACATGGTCACACACCCCTTACCCAGAGTGTATTGCTCTCACAGGGCAGGGGCCCCATGTTGGGGGTGCCCACCACACTACCACTCTTAGCACACCAGCCAAGCCAGTCCCTGGTGGGCTCATTTCTCCCACCAAGGGGCAGTATGGTGTGGTGGGCAATGGAATAGGAGAAATTTATTTGGACCCTGGCACATAGCAGGTGTCCAACACACCCCTGGCTGTGGGTATTAATCACGGAGGTAGTGAGAGCCATCGCCTTAGTTAGAGAGTCTGCTCTGGAAGCGTGTGCCTGATTGACCTAGGAGTCTTCATTCATTTATTCATTCATTCATTCAATAAATAATTATTCCTGCCTACTGGAGGCCAGGCACCATGCTAGAGGTTGGGATCAAGACGTGAACAGACAAAACTCCCTGCCCCCATGGAGCTTACATCCTAGTAGAAGAGGCAGATTAGAATAAGATGAAGGATAAACAAGACAGGCTGGATTGTGATCAGCTCTATGGAGGAAAAAAAAAGCAGGAAAGAGAGATGGGTGGAAGGAGCTTCCCTTTTAAAAACAGTGATCAGGCCGGGCACAGTGGCTCAAGCCTGTAATCCCAGCACTTTGGGAGGCCGAGACGGGTGGATCACGAGGTCAGGAGATCGAGAGGCAATCCTGGCTAAACACGGTGGAAAGCCCGTTCTCTACTAAAAAAAAAATACAAAAATTAAGCCGGGCGAGCGGGTGGCGTGGCCTGTAGTCCCAGCACTCGGAGGGCTGGAGGCCAGGAGCAATTGGGGATTGAGACCCGGAGGCGGAGCTTGCGTGAGCCGAGATCTGCGCCAGGCATTTCCAAGCCTTGGCGGACAGAGCTGGAGACTCGTCTATAAAAAAAAAAAACAACAACAACAGTGATTCAGGGAGGGCTTTCCCGGTTGCTGCCCTTTAGAGGCTTTGGTTGAGCACCCGGATTTGTTGATTACCATGGTCTGCTGTACTGGGCATCACGGCTGCGGTGGGGTGGCAACAGGTGCGAGATCCAAACGGACTGCAGGGCAGCACCCCACGCACAACGGACTCCTTGGTTAGGGTCAGGGCAAAGCAAAATGCTGCAGAAACCGGGAGACTGCGGCAGCTGGAGGAGGGTGGAGAGCCTTCCCAGGAGAAGGAGGTACCAAGGCTCTACAACTCACCACTGTAGACTAGAAGGTGGAGACAGAGTCGAGGAGATCATGGGTGACACTGACTTAGCTACATTTCTGTGAAGGAATTGGGAGCTGTGTTATGGCCTTTGCAGGAGCCAAGCCAATTCTTAGGGGATGGATTACATGTCCACATGAATAACCCAGCCAGATGGAACCTGAGACTTGCCTTTGTGGGCTGGAGATCTGGGAGGCTTCTGGAGAAGTGGCCTTGAGCTCGGCCAGGCAGCGAGGCAATGCTAAACCAAGGATGCACAGGTGGCCTTTGCCACAGCAGGCCATCCTGGGCTTGGCACTGTCATGAAGTGCCTCTGATAGGGCAGTCCACGGGTGCCCAGAGCCAAGGGGAGGGCGGCTGTCCTGGTCCTCCAGGCTTGCGTGTCTCTCTACTCCCCCACCGGCCCCTGAGGAGGAGGAGGCTGCGTGGCGCTGATGGATATGCCGGGACCAGGCGGCTGCGGCCCACTGTCGCCAGGCTCTCCCTCTGCATGCCGGAACCTGACACCCTGACCACTGAGGCATAAAAAACAGAGAATTGGAAGGCTCAGCCTGTCAGGCTGGGAGTGGCCCCCAGAGAGGCCCGAGGAGGAGCGCGAGCGTGTGTGTGTGTGTGTGTGTGTGTGTGTGTGTGGACACGCTCTGCCTGTGGTTGTGAGGTGCAGGGGAAGCCAGCTAGACCTAGGGAGTGGGAGCGGCTGGACCCTCAGTCCTGCTTCATTATTCCTGCCCCACCTGGCAGAGCCCCAGGGGCCCACATCTAGGCTTGGGTTGCAGGGGAGAGAGCAGGCTCTTGGCTCTCGGTCCCGGGTTCTGGCTGGCCCCTTCCGGAATCTCTCACGCTTCGGCCCTTTGTAAGCATCCTTGTAGGGGATCGTGAAGGCAGGCTTGGGCTGCAGATGGGCTTATGGGGCTAAGTAACTCCTGTTATCTCCAGCAGGGAAGGGCTCCCATGCTCTGTACCCAGCAGTAGCCAGCTTCCCATGCCCTGTTCCGGGGCCTCTACTGAATACACTCTGCCGGGTGCTGGGCACCTGGCAATGACTCCAGGCTGAAGTCTACTCTCTGGGAGCCCCTAGCCATGGGGAAAGGACAGGCAGGCCCTACTGGCTATAAGACCAAGGCAGCAAGGTGGTAAGGGACAGAATTGTGAACTCTCCTCCTAGTGACCTAGCCAGTAGTAAAGAGGCTCTCCTGGAACCGGCACCCAGAGCCTAGGGAAGTGCCCGAGGCAGGCATCACTGCTCCATGAGCACCTGGCCAGAGTGAACCATGCTCGAGTGCCACCATGCCCCACAATGCTCTTCACACCCTGGCATACCTCACAGCTCCTGCCCAAGCACGCCCACAGCTGCCAACAGCTGCCCCCTCCCCAGTGCCCAAAAGGCCCCAACCACTCCCTCTTCTGTGCTCCCCTAGCCCTTTGGCTTGTCGTTTTATTTCAGCACTGTCATTTCAGTATAGTTCTGTCTGCCTCCTCCAGGCAGAGGGCCTGGAGGCCCTCTGGAACCTGGTTGCCCGTGGCTGGAGGTCTGACAAAGCATGCCATTTAGGGCTCAGCTGGTGCCCACCCTCTACCCAAGTCTCATCTTCCTGACGAAACTGAGGCCCCAGGGACAGCCACCCCTGCCTTCACAGCACAGAGGGCCAGGCTAGGGTTGAGGTTACCTTTGGGTTCTCTGTCCAGAGGCACTCAGGAGCAGGTGGGGGGTAGAACTGAGCCCATCCTGAGGTCCTGGATTGGCTTCACTCAGGAATGAGAACCAAGCAGTCTGCAGCCTTGAAGTTAGCAAGGTGTATCAAGACCATTTTGTGAGATGACCTGAGCATCAGCCTTCTCATATGTAAAATGGGCCAATGGCCCCAAGGAACATCTGGCAAATGGGGCCACGGAACGACATGGGAGTTCCATGGTACACATGTGAGAGTCTGCTATTCACTCCCACTGATAAGGATGGGAAATCCAGACAATGCCAGTGACAGCTGCCCACTCCATAAGGATGTGGACCTGACTTGCTTTTGTTAGTTACAAAAGCTCCTGAAGTTCATAGAAGAGGCAAATGCCATTGGTAACCAGGCTGGCTGGGAGCCAGGGCCTTTTCTGAACTGGATTTGACGTTTGCTTCCTGTTTCTCTCTCCACCCACCATACACAGGGAGTGAGTTTTCCGGGAGTCCCTACAGCCACCCTCAGTATTCCTCGTACAACGACTCCTGGAGGTTCCCCAACCCGGGGCTGCTTGGTGAGTACTGGCAGAGGCCCTGCGGGGCCCCTGGGCCATCGGCTACCCCATCCAGGCCTCCTCATTGGCCTGGGTCCCTCGACATCCTGAGGTCTGGTCACTGAGCTGGGTGGGTAGCTTCCCCAGACACATGGAGTATAGTGGGGGCCTTAGGGTAGTAAACACTGCTGTAGCCCTGCCCAGGCCCTCCTCCCTCCCCCAGATGTTTTGGTGGGTTAGGAAAAATGGCACAGAAGGGAAACAGAGGAAAGAAGGGGCATCGAAGGAGAAAGAGGAAGGTAGGAAAAGTAGTGCCTACCTGTGAGTAACTTGTATTTCTTAAGAATCATGAAATATTCAGGCGAGAACTCTCTAAATAAGTGTCAGTAAAGATACCAACTTGACTTGATTAGTAGTGGCTGCCTGGAGACTATCTTGATAAAGGCCCTGATGCCCAGTGATTGATTAGTGATATCTGCATGGACATCACCAGAGCCAGCTCCGTTGGAACCTGGTTACCCGTGGCTGGAGGTCTGACAAAGCATGCCATTTAGAGCTCAGCTGGTGCCCACCCTCTGCCCAAGCCTTGGATTGGCAGATTGTCCGTGACTGGTGGCAGTCTTATCTGTGAACATCATCAAGATTTGGGCCACTGCAAAGACCATGCAAGTCTAACTCGGCCTTCAGAAGGCCAAGAGGAGCCTTCTGTTTTGTTGGAATGAGCTTACACGAAACCAGCTAATGAGTGCCAGTTGGAGCTAAAGGTTCTGGGACATGAAGTAGAGGCATGGGCTCAAACATATCACTCACCATCTGGGAGGTGAAGCTGGCCAATCAGCCTGCAGGCAGCAACATGGAACCCTCCCCGAGCAGTCAGCTAAGAATTTTCCACTTACAGCAGTGAAAGGTCAGACATGGAAGGGCCCTCTGAGACCACCCAGGTTTATCTGTCTAACTTAACAAGGCCTCCTTAAGGAAGAACCTTTTAATTCCCTGGATCCTTAATTATTTTAGGACTGAGAAACAGGCTTCATCAGAAAAGCCATAACCTGGTGTCTTCAAACTCAAGTTGCCAAGCCATAGGTCTGTGAAAAAGGCCATGTAATCTCAGCCTTGACTCCTTCCCACTCCTGATTTGGTGATTAGGACAGACACGCAGTATGGAAACCACTTCTCTCTTGCTACTACCATTCCATGCACTTGGGGCCTTTGGCTGTCCAAAGGATTTTGATGTGTCATGGATGACTTGGGGATTCAATAAGAAACAATCGCCATTAGTGCTGCAGGTCCCTGAGGAAGGGGATTTCAAGCCTTGCAGAAGACTCCTAGCTTCTTCTTATCTGTGGTCTCCAAGAGGGGCAGAATCTGCAGATTGATCTCTTCTCAGACTCCTTTTTTGGTTTTGGTCAAAATCATTTCTAAGTATCGAACCAAGATATCCACTTACCTAGTGTTTTTTTCTTAAGTGGACTATTTGAGTTGACCCAGACGTCAGTCTCAGGAAACGGGAGGCATGGGCTGGCTGTGAGCTCCCTGAACCAGTGTCTTCCAGCAGGGCTGGGGGTAGGGAGATGAGGCCCAAACCTGGGAGTCCTTCCCAGGAAATCTGCCTCAGGCAGAGCCCTGATCCCAGTCCTCTGGGAGACCCCAGGGGATATGGCACACAGGAGACCTGAACACTGGCCTGTGGGAGAGGTTCATTCTGATGGAGAGATGACCCCAAGGAGGCCATGGTGGCCCAGGGCTGCCACACATGACTGTGCACTACCCAAGGGGACAAGTGGGAGCTGAACCCCAGCCCATGCATGGCACAAAACCCTGAGCCCTGGCACGGGGCTGTACCTGCTCAAAAGGGACACCTTTTTCTCATTTATACAAGGAGTCCTGGAGGTTGATAGTGCCTGTCATTTATTTGCCTGGGAATTCAGGAAGCAGATAAATTAGCAGAAACAGCTCAGGCACGTATGGCAAAGGCTTGGTGTAGGAGGTAGGGCAATCTGTGGAGTGTGCACAGAGCGGCCCCTTGAAGGCCAGGCTGGGGAGTTTGGACCTGACTGTGTAGGTCTGAGGGGATAGGGAGGGGAGGGTGGGGCTAGACCGCATCCGAGGCTTTTGCTACCCAAGCTGGAGTGAAATCTAGTTCACAGCTCCAATTGTTCGGCTTGGGCTGTGTGCCTGTTGTGGAAATGATGCACACTCTGTCCCAGGGAGCTCACAGGCTGTGGGTGGGAGCCTCAGGCAGGGATGTCTATGCTGGGAAGTGCTCAGTACCTTTAGGGGGCCCAGAGACAGTGTGGAGAGGAGGAAGAGGAAGCAAAACTCCATTCATCTACATAAGCACTTGCTAATTGTACCAGGCACCCAAAACTCTTTCCACGTGGGCTATCTGATTTTGTCCTCTCAGCAACCCTACAGAGCACATATTATTGTCTCTATTATACGGAAGAGGACAATGAGGCTCAGAAAGGTGAACTAATTCACCTGAGGTCACACAGCATTCGGGTGGCAGAGGAGGATTTAAATTCAGGTCACCCTGACACCAGAGCCTATTTCTGGAACCAGTGTGTGATGTTGTACTCTACTCTCCCTGACTGATTTGCAGTTTGAACAACACCAAAGCCAGGAAAAGAGTCCTCACCCCTCTGTAGAAACAGGCCTTGGGAGTCCTGAGTCCTGAATACTCAGGCCTGTGTGTGAGTGATGAGGCTGGCTCTGGTCCAGCTTTGAAAGCAGGTTACTGTCTGTATCTGTCAGACTTTCAGTTGCAAACAACAGAATCCACTCTGAGTGGCTTAAGCAGAAAACCAATTAGTTAAGGGATATTTGGGACTCCTAGAATCTCCAGGAGGACCAAAAAGAGGTAGGCATGGGACACAGCCAGGACACCACCAACCACACAACCAGTGGTGCACTAGCATCAGCAGCCCTGCTGCCAGCCGGCACCCACCCTGCAGCTCCACTCTGCTGTAACTTTACCCAAGGTGCTCCGGACTAGGCACCAGAAGCTCTGTCCGGCCCCCAGCCAAAGCTGGATGCCTTTGCCAGCCACTCCCAACAGATGGAGTCCCCCAGCCCACTGCTTCAAGTGGGCTCCCTTCTCAATCAAGGTCATATACAAGAAAGTCTAATTGGCAGAGCCCATGTAACAGTCCTGTGCCCTAGCAGCAAGGGAAGCTGGGAGGATGGGTTCTGACTTCTGGCTCAAAGAGCAGGCCTCCTACTGCAGAATCTCTACAAACACAGGAAGAGCACACACGATATTGGGCAGCAACAAACATGAGAAATGGTCCCTGCGCTGCCCAACTCTATAACCTCCATGAGCCTAGGCAGGTCTGGGCCTCAGTTGCCTCGGATGTAAATTGAGGATAGTCATCCCTGCAGCCTCATTCCAACAGGAGCTGCACGCATGCTCTCTTGAGATGTGCAGGGCGAAGGAAGCAGTGATCCCAGCTTCCTGAAGATGGGTGAGATTGCTGGCTCCCCAACCCACAGCTTTGCAAATAGCTCCAGGCCCGTTCACCTCTCCTGGCTGCCCTGCCCCACAGTGTCTTTGGCATGGTGTGAGAGAATGCCCCAGGGCAGGGAGACCTACACGGATTATTCGTGACATCTGGGGAGGGCGCCAGGGCATGGAAAGCTGTCAGGAGGTCCCTTGGTGTGCCTGCTACATTGGTGGGCTGTGGAACAGGTGAGACTCTAAACACACGCACACACAGACACACACGCACGCACACACAGACCCACGCTCACACACTCATACACTCACACAGACACATGTTCACATACACTCATACACTCATGCACGCACACACTCAGACATGCACACTACATGCACACGCAAACACACATGCACACACAGACATGCTCACACACTCATACACATGCACACACTCATGCACACACATGCACATGCACACACAGACACACAGACACACTCATACACACACTCACACAGACACACACTCATACACACACGCACACTGACATGCTCACACATCCATGCACACACACACAGACACATGCTCACATACACTCATACACTAACACATCCATGCACACACACACATGCACACACAGACACACGCTCACACACTCATACACTCACACATGCATGCACTCACACATGTGCACACCCACATACACTCACACACACATGCACACACTCACGCACATGCACAAACAAGCACACACACAAGCACACACACGCTCACACACTCATACACACACGCACACACATGCACATACACACAGACACACGCTCACATCCCCACTCCCACTGGCACACACCCTTGCACGTGCTGCTGACACCTTGGCCAGCCTGGCTGAAGCCTCCTTCCCAGGAAAGGCCAAGGTGAGGATCAGCGATGCCAGGGGATGAAGCAGAAGGACTGGGGCGCTTTGACTTCTCGGGAGAATGTCCCTCGGCCAGGGCAGCTGTGACTCAGCATCCCACCGGGGCCCCAGGCTGGCAAGGGGGCTGCGGTCCTGGTCCCGGCAGGAAGAAAGGCCAGATGAGGTCAATTAGGATTAGAATAGGAGCGCCTGTGGCCGCTGTAAAGGGATTAGAGAGAAAGCAGAGCCGGGAATGACTGTGTCAAGCAGTAAATTGATGATAATGTGAATTAGAGAGGAAAAATGACAGAAGAAAGGACAAGTTTATTCTAGATGGAGGTCTAATGGGCGCCAGGAAGACAGAGTGCTTTGTGAGGTGATGTTTTCATTTTTCACGGTAAATGCAAGCGCTCACGCGGAGGCCCGCTGGAGGTCTAGCCTGGCTTTGGGAGGCAGTGGGTCAGACTCCAGGGTGAGAGGTGGCCGGGGTCGAGCGCTTGGAGGGTCAAGCCAGGGATCCTCCAAGGAGAAGACTCGACTTCCGTTTCCTGTCCTTTGGGGCCCTTGTGTAGGGCAGCCCTGTGATTGCCCTGCCTTTGTGCCTTGCCCTTCTCGTGCACACATGCCCCTCTCATGCACCCACGCCCGCCCTCCTCTGGAATCACCTGCAGGCAGGACGAAGGGCAGGCACTGCAGACACTCCATGGGTGGCTGTCCCCATCCCACAGAAGAGAGAACAGAGAAAGGCTGACGGGGGTCTCTGAGTCAGGACTGCAGCCAGGGAGGTGACAGAGGCGGCAGAAGAAAACCCATCTCAGGGAATACTTAGGCATGGGGCTGGTGTTTTTTGCCATCTGGAACAGCACAGCAAGGTACTAGCTCCTCCATTGCCCTACTGCCTCCCTGGGGGGATGGGCAGGGAGCAGTACATCGGTTCATTAGGGTTGAACGGGGAGGAGAAGTGGTGCATGCCGAAGTGTCACCCCTAATCCCACCCTCTTGATTACATATTAGCTGTATGACCTTGGGCAAGTCACTTGACCTCTCTGTGCCTCAGTCTCCTCAACTGTAAAATGGGAACAATAATCATTCCTACCTGATGGGAAGCTGAGAGTTAATGGATATAAGCTGCGTAGAAAAGTAGCCATCCTCACGGCTCCTTCACAACCTTACTTCATGGTGCCCTTGCAGTTGCCCCCTTGTCGCCCCCTCTTACAGATGAAAAAACTGAGGCCCGGGGGGTGAAGTCACTTGTTCAAGGTCTGCTAGCCAAGAAGTGGTAGAATGGGACTGGCAGACTCCAGGACTCAGCCCCCAGTTATGGTATAGGTTGACTCTCCCTAATCCAAAATGCTTGGGACCGGAAGCATGTCAGATTTTTCCAGATTTTGAAATATTTGCATTGTACCAGCTGAGCTCCCAAATCAAAAAAATCTGAAATCCAAAATGCTCCAACAAGCATTTCCCTTGAGCATCGTGTCAATGCTCAGAAAGTTTCCGATTTTAGAACCTTTCAGATTTCAGATGTTTGGATGTGGGATGCACAGCCTGCCTCTGGGAGAAGTGCCAGGGTTTGGTTTGGAATTGGGTGAGAGTGCAGAATAAATATGAGCCACCTCACGTGGGGAGTGAAGAAGCTTGCCAGTCATATCCCAGCAGGCGTGCAGTCTGTGGCAGGCTGATGGGGCCCTAGCCGCTGCCCACTTGCATAAACCTGTTTCTGTATAGATGTGTGGGCCTCAAACTGTATTGTAGTGGAAAGAGCCTCAAGCTGGAGCTGACAACCCAAACCCCAGCCAGGCCCTGTGCCGAGAGCCTGTGGCTTTGGGCATGTGACCCGGGTTTGTTGAACCTTAGTTCTCCCACCTGTAATAGGAGGACATTGGCCTAGAGGCTCAACTTCTGTAGTTCCGAGAATCTGCTGGTCGCCCTGGGCCCTCCCAGGCCCCCTCATCCCTGAGAGGGAGCTTTAGCAGAGCAGGGCTTCTGGAGGCCTTGGCCAAAGGGTGCAGTCAAAGAAAGCAGCTGGAGGCAATGGCGGGAGCCCAGCGTCTGCCCGAGTGCCCTCACTCTGCTTTCCTGAGGTCACAAAAGGGGCCTGCACCCCACCCTGTCTCACACATGCTCCCCAGAGTCCCCATGTCCTCCAAGCCCCACTTCCTCCAGAAAGCCAACTTGCTAGAACCATCTTGCACTCTCCAGAGCTTCTTTCTGACCCTGGATCCCCTTCCCACTCTGACTATTAACCTGTGTCATTGCCCAGCCCTGCCCCCCGCAGGGTCAGGAAATGAGTGGTGAATGAATGAGTGAATGAATGAATGGGCAGGGGGTGTCTTCACTATTGTTTGCTCACTCAGCAAAGTTGGTTCGTTTACACATCCAATCCAGCCAAGCAGGTGCCACATACAGCTCCAGGCTGGAACTGGGGACAGACTCCCAAGAAGAGCAGAACCCAGCTTCTGCCTTTTGGGGCCCTCCATCCAGGGATGGGGGAAGTGCAGAAAGAAGTAATCATAGCACAGGGACAGACTACAGGGGAGTGTGAGCTCATGGCAGGAGGCTTCCCAGAGGAGGAGACAGGGCTGTGAGATTTGAAAGAGGCATAGAAGTTTAACAGACAGCAAAAGGGGGTGAGGGTGCAGGCCAAGAGTTCCAGGCAGGAAGTACATTGTGGGGAAAGGCCCAGAGGCAGGAGAGTATGCTAGCATGAGCTAAACTGTGCCTACCCCATAGGTTTAAATGAGATAATACCTGCACAGGCACTAGCAGGGCCAGGCACAGAGGATGTGCTCATCTGTTCGCATTATGTATATTCGAGACAGCTGCAAGGAGTTTCGTCCAGCTTAAGCATGATATATGAGTGTGGGCAGGAGGGGCCTTCCCTGAGGGAAATGAATTCAGAGATGCTGGCTGGGGATAGATCATAGAGTACCTGCAGGCCGAACAAAGGGAATGCTTTTCATGTTTTTATCTTCTAGGTCAGGGGTTGGCAAATGATTTCTGTAAAGAGCCAGAGAGTAAATATCTTAGGCTTTTCTGGCCATAGTGTCTCTGTTGCAACTACCCAACTCTGTCATAATAGCAGTAAAGCAGTAATGGGCAATGCCTAAATGCATAGGCAAGACTGTGTTCCAGTAAAATGTTATTCACTAAAATGGGCAGCTGGGAGGATTGGACCCACAGGCCCCAGACTCCCCACCCCAGCACTAGATGGTGAGGAGCCTCGAAATCTTGTGAGCAGATTGTGACCCTGGTGGGACTTGCCATTTGGGGAACAGACTGGGACAGAGATCTTGGTGAGAGAGGATGGTGGCCTGGGCTGGGTGAGGGGAAGAAAGGACAGAAGTGGAGGAGACTGGTGGAAAGGGGACCCCAGATCTGACCTCAGTGCTCTCTCCCGTCTCTTCCAGGGTCCCCCTACTATTATAGCGCTGCCGCCCGAGGAGCCGCCCCCCCTGCAGCGAAAACAGAGGACAGAGAGAGAATGCTCTGCCCGTCTGATGTAAAGAGCGACGACATCAGAGTGCAAGATGCATCGTGGGGTGGAAGCTACATATCATCAGTCGGACCCTTACCGGGTCCCCACAGAAAAGCAGAAGGTATTTACAATGGGTGCTGCTGAAGCAACAAAGCAAGCTCTTCCCTTCCCGGCGTGGGTGGTGTACGAATGAGATGGATGAGGAGCTGGGACATGGCAGGCTAGGATGGGGCTAGCGGTTATTTGCGCGAACAATCTGTTTGTGCAGAGACCCAAGGGACCATCAGGAGAGAAGTCTCATAGATTGGCTTTTTAGACAACTGGACCAAGGCCGTCCAGGAAGCTCCAACGGCCCACATGTGTTGTGCGCCCGCAGGATCCCTGGAGGAAGAGGGAGGAGGGGTAACTTCTCAGGCAAGTGGGGGATGCTGGGGATGGTGCGTCCATGGGCCTCATTCTGGCTATCTTTTCAGGAGGGCTGGGCGACTGGTCACCCTCACATGATATGTTCGCCATCAGTGTTTATGCCCGCCCGGCTCCAAGGGTCTCAGTGACGTCATAGGCAGTTTTGGCG